TTTCAACCCAACAGAATAACGAGTAAGGGTAATATTGAACATTGTTTAAAATAGTGGTGCTTAAAAAATCAACTAATTCAAACAGCTAAATTTCCTTTATTGCTTAAAAATGTTTCACTGTTCATGAAACAACGCTTAATTATTGTTTTTTCTTTTTTGGCAGTTTTTTTCATTTATTTATTAAACTGTACCATGTAATCCATTTCGTCTGACCAGTCTTATAATGATTGATAGCAGGAAAAATATAAACATTTGAATCCTAAACACAATGCAAAGCATAGAAATAAAAATGTCGTGTACAAAAACGAATTGTTTTCCTGAAGGTATCAGCACAAAATGTCTAACTTTAGTTATTTACCAATTAAAGTACAAAAATGATATGTCCATTATCAATTTCTGTTAAGGTTTTTTGAATACAAATTATTATACGAAAAAGATTTACAATAATTTACAAATATAATAATTGAAATTATAACACCCGCCTTCAGGAACAAATTTTTCTGTGTATTGAAATTATACAATTACGTTACTTTTCTATTTCACACATACCCATGCGATTATAAATTTTAATAATCCCCTACACATCCAATAAAATACCACGAGATACTTTTGCTTTAAATGATTCACTTTTATCGTGGATACACGATCTTTATTTGAGATTGCATGATACGAAATAAGCTTGGTAATCGTCAATCGACGTATTAACCTTTGACATTTTTAAAAAATGTAACGTTTCTTGAGAAAAAGAAAATGATTTCTTTCTAATTAAGCAAGAGGTATGGCGGACCTTCTATGTTCTGTCTAAGATCACTAAAACGAACTTAATTTGTGATCGAATTTTTAATTCTATCAACCTCGATAATATGGAAACATGTTTCAATCCACCGTTGAAATTTATTTTGTTCCCACTACCTCTTTGCAGAATGAAAATTTTAATTTTCAGCCAAATGTAACTTCCGTACGTACGATATTGTAAACGATGGACCGAGATCATTTTCCATTTTTCAGGAGAAATATTCGGACTTTTTTTTAACCGTTCACATATGCGATTTGAAATGTTCATCATAAAGCAAGCTTTTCCATTTCATTCAACAAATCAGCTTCTTTCTGAATCTTGTCCAATTGATTGATTTCTAATCGCTTGCCAGCCTCTAACTGTTCCTTTAGTTTAGTAATTTGATCTAACTTCTGTAATAAATGGTGAATATAAAAATCATTTTGATCGTTTGAATTTGTGTGCGGTGAAAATTCTTACCGCTTTAATTTTTTTCATTTTCTTACTCCTCTCCACTTCATCGATACATTGAGGAACGTTTGCAGAGGCTAAGCTCTGACTGTTTGTGCTAGTAGTAACTTGCCCATTTGTACTTGGGCTAGTAGATGTAGCCCCTTCTGATTCCTTTTGATCCTTCTTCGTCTTTTTTTTTGCTTTATTTGATAAAAGAAAAATACAAAAACTCTATAAATTTCTCAAAATACTCGTGTTTTATAAATTATGATAGGAAGCTTATTTTATTACCAGTTTTTTTCTTCTTCTTAAATGGACAATTAGGTATTTCAAAAGGTAAACTTTCTCCTCTGGCAGTAGGTGGTCGATACGCTTGTTTTGACGCTTTATGTAAATTATAAAAAAATGTTATGATTATCCTTATTCTTCTTATCTTAATATTATTACTAAATGTTACACACTGTCTTTACCTTGAGGCTGACTAGGAGCAATACCTTCGACAGCTTTATAACTAATTGCTTTCTCCGGAAATGTGTTAGGAGGGAATGTTTGCCAAAGTACTTCCCACAATTCCTCCTGTTCGTTCCATGGTCGCTCATATAACAACGTTCCAGTATAGTGCCAAATTTTAAATCTGTAAATAAATATTGATTATCAAAAAATTTAAGGTGTTTATAAAGAAATTTCTTTTACGTTTATGTAGCTTACCCATTACACATTCGAAGTCTAGGTGCTGTGGTTGCAGTCATAAAGTGTTCTCCATCCGGAGACCACTGAAGAAGCGTTGTATCAGGAGCTTCTGCAGTAGCAATTAATTTTTTTGTATTTACGTCCCATAACTCAATATGGCCACGAAGATTACCAAATCCAGTCAATATAAGAAGTGCATAGTGGTTAAGGAATTAATTATTTGCTAAATACAGAAACCCTATAATAATAAATACTGTAGTATGAAAAAGGATATTATCTCCATGGGGACTATAATAAATGCTATTTCGATGGAGTGTACCGAACTCGAATATTGGTTGACACTGAATGTTAAATAATGTCGTGTCAGCTGGCATAAAACCATGTATGACAACAAATTCATTTTTTTTTGGAGACCACTGAACTGCGTGTATGGGAGGTTCTTTTTCTAAATGAAAAATAATCAAGAACAACAATTATAAGTACATGAATTTATGCCTATGAACACTGATAATAAGAGAAGTACTAACTAAACGTGAGCATGGCAGTTTCACCCTTTGTATTAAGATAATGTAATGTTTGTTTTCCATAGTATGAAGAACCTGTTTTGTCAACCTCCGTACTTGTCAATAACAAGGCATGTGCTCCAGTATTATTCCAATAAACATTCAGTTTATCCGCCTAAGAAAAAGAGTTGTATAATTTTCTGAAACTAAATCTGTAAATAATTGATACCAGCAAAATTATACCTGGAAGAAACTTTTGCTTGCTATAGCACGCGTGGCATCAAAATCAGGGTATTGGAATAATTTTCCAAATGCAGGCTGACCAGATTTTCCTATGATGTAAATTAAATTAATTATAAATCCAATTCAATACTTACATTTAAATTATAATATGATGTATACAATTTAAACTTTTGGTATTTAATGTGGAGAGTACTTATTTTTACATCATTTTATGTAACAATACAATATCAAAATATTCTTCAGAATAATTTGAAGTCTATATACTTTTCATAATAATTACCTATTATACATATACCTCTATTTATTCCCTATGATTTTAATTATGTACTTACACATAAAACTGTACATGCAATAATCAGGAAAATTTCCCATTATTGGTGATTCCGATTATATACTCATACTTGTCTACCTCTCAAAATACCATTATGTGTCAATATTCGATCGTACTTGTTTACAATGTTAAAATGTTCTACAGATATAATTGTCATATATATATATATATATATATAATCTTCATTCCACCTGTGCATTACATGCTTGCCATGCATATTTGCTTCATAATGAGAGAAACTGAAATAAAAAAGTACTTCATAAAATATGCCAATTTTTATCTCAGCTACACTTGAACTACTGATTAAACATTTCATTGAGTATGTACATCTAGTAACACACAGTTTCATTAATTAATCACAATATCTGGTAAGTAACATTGTGAAAAAAAGTTATGTACTCTCCACATATAGGTACCTTGGCATCATATAAATGTATTCGTAATTTAATGTTAAATAAATACAACAAAATGTAATTACCAGGCATATAACAGACAATATAATACGGAGAACAAATGGGTGAAATACTAAAACTAGCAACTTTGGCTATATTTATTCTGTGAGCAACTTTTTGAAAATTGCCATCCTCATACAGAACGACATCTGCACCAACTAACATCCCACAGATTTTCTCATCACTTGACCACTGAGGTTCCCTGAATAAGCGTAAATGCATATTCATATATATTAAAACAGAGTTAGAAATCAATTCACTTAATATATTCATAAAAATAAAAATATTTTTAAAGGAATATATTAACAATTAATCAGTATAATTCTTTTAAGAATACAATATACAATTAAAATATTACACTTTAAACAAGATAAATATTTATGCAAATATTATCTCCCTCTTTCTTATTATTATGTAAATATTATATTACCAATCTGCTTGTCTCTTCTGTATACAACTTTTCACTAGTTCTCCATTCTCCGACTTCCATATGTGAAGATTAGGTGACGCTTGAGGATTTGATTGTGTCACTATAATCAAAATATTAACAACTTTATGTTTGACATTATTATAATAAAATGTTCACATATATAATGTAAATAAAAGTAATAATGAACACATTAAAAAAAAAACACACAATAGCAAAGTAGTAATGAATGAAATACCACTGAATGGTTCCCATGTCATAAAATAGTTGCCTTGGCTGGAAAACTTTATTGAAAAGATCTTGGGTCTTTTGATTTCGTTAACAACTTTCCATGAACTACATTCCAAAATTTTTGTTGTGGCTCCATTGACCCAAGCAAAATATCGTCCTTCTGGACTAAAAACCATTGCTCTACACGTTTTGCTGTCATCCTTAGGAAATGATTTAACTGATTCATATGATGGTGGACCTTGTCCTAAGCTGACACCATTAGAACCTCTCACTATAAAAAATTTAATACCTTAATATCTGATAATAAATGTTATAATAAATTAATATTATCTTATTGTTATTACAATATTTATGGGATATGAATTCAGAATAATATACGTAACAACATTTTATACCTACTATAACAAACAACACATTACTGAAATAAAAATAGAAAAACACCCTGACTAGATAACAAATATAAAATAATTACAAATCATTTATGAAGTAATGTAATACTATCGAAATTGTACACATACACAGGATTTAATTAAAATAGCGCGTACTGTTTCATATTCATAACATTGTACATATTTATTTTGCCATGAATATATCTTTCAGTAACAAAATGCCACATGACACATTTTTGTCCAGTCAGTTGCCGCATATGACGAAATTTGCTATTGCTTTATAAATAGATGTTTAATGCGGCCACATATTATTCAAGCAAGAAATATCATATCAAATCTAATTCTTAATTAAGAAGTTTACCTAGAAAAATAATGGAAAAATGCTTACCAGCGACACAAGGAACAGGTAACGCCATTTTACCTCCGTTACCATGTGGTACCGTAATATCGAGTATCGACCACTCTTGCCAGATTGAGGAATTTGTCCCTCGAAAAGGATTTCTTGCACATGCGTCGCCAACATCGTATGTAAGAAACACGTGCGCTCAGGATCGTGCATGCATATAAATGTATGTATTCTTAGATTTTTTCATATTTATTTTAATTCTGAATTAAAGAATAAGATTTTTAAAATACTTTATATAACATCTTGTTATATAACACTTCTTACTTACTTTTATTTGTATGGAGAATAGGCTGGTAAAGTTTAACAGAAAAAATTGGAACACCGTGTATATCATCTACAGTCGCCTCATAATATGCCAATAAAATAATTTCAATTAATTGGACGTATTGAATAATAAAAATCGCATACAATATTATTTACCATGATTATTGTGTCATAAAAGATGTACAAATTTCTGTCAAAAATTGTAACGGACGCGCAAACTCTACTTATTTGGCAATATCCATTGGTGGTTTGAATATTCGATAAAAAGTCGATTATTCAACTTCTCTGAAAATGAACATCTGTTTTCAGTGGTATATTTTAGATAATAGATCTGTTTTCCAATCATGTCATTTGTAAGTTAACATGTTGAAATTATCATTTTAAGTTACACATCGTTCTGGTATAGCATTATTTGTCACTAAGAAAATACATAGTAACAGCACTACGTGGAATTAAATACGTACATATATGTACAATTCCTATTCAAAGATAAGAAAATGCTTAGTTTACAATAATTTTATCTACTTTTGAAACTGGAGAACGTAAGAGTTAAGAAATATATAAATAAAAGATTTGTCATTATCATTTCTATACGTCAGAAATATGATCTACTGTAATCGATGATTATATTATTAACTCTTTCCGGTCGGAGTACTTGGATCTGGATCAAGAAGTAACCAGTTCGTCATAGCGCTCATTCAGTGTAGTGTTAGCGCACACTTAATCTTACGCCTGATAAGCCAATAAATGCTTTTATTTGATAAAAAATGCAGCATTGCATTCTATTTTTCGTAGTAAATATTATGTTTTATATTTTCTCTGTATACATATAATATTTTTCGAAACAGTTTCTCATACGTAACTGCAGTGATACCCAGTATGAAATGAATAGTAAATATATAACAATGAAAGGATTAAAATAGTACTAAACTAGCTAAATTACAATGAAATTTCAACGAAACTATCCGAATTAAGTTCAAATTAAACTATTTTTACAAGAGGGTTTTGTTCTACATATAAAATCAAAACCTATGATCGCAATGGTAAAAGTATCTTACCGGGTTAAGATCGAAAAGGGGTTATTGAACACCCTATATACGGCAGAAATTATATGTCAGCATCCTATTGCCTGGGGTATGGCAAGTTCATGTTTTAGGTAAGCATTAAAGACTCTGAATTATTTTATAAACGTATAACTATTTTGTTCTTGTTTTATAAACACATATAGAAGACATAAACGCTACGAGTGATTTACACAGATTCTACACGTATATTTTCCTGTTTTTCTTCTGACACATGTGAGGTTATGTTTTCATAAATACAATTTCTAATCACTAATAAGAATGAACAGGTGACAGTTAAACCGGACCAAGTTTTTTTATATGTATTAGAATAAAGATTTTAAAGTTAAGTAACATTGACTTAAATGAAACACTTCTCAGTCATACCTTTTAATCTTTGTATGATTACGTTTTGGGTAAAGTCGTTTTAGAAAATTAATTAATAATTTATCAATTTCTTCTGTAGTAATGTTGACGAGTATGGATTCGAAAGACCTAACGATTTTGACTATGAAACTTATGAAGATTTTATGTCGGAATACCTTAAAGTACTCGCTAAAAGGGCAAAAAAATGGGCTGAAATTATTGGTAAAGGAAACTCATTGCAACGTAGTATTACAATAAAAAGATATGTTCGCAAAGGCATACCAGGTGAACATAGAGGTTTGGTAAGTATATATGAGAATCAAAATAATTTATTATCACCCAGCTAATCAAAGAAATTGATGCTTAAAGGTATGGTTGTCTGTCAGTGGAGGTGAGGATATGAAAAACGCCTCTCCAGATCTCTATGAAAAATTGTTACAGTCTTCACATAATAAACAAATAGAAGATATTATAAAAACTGATTTACCAAGAACATTTCCTGATAATATATTTTTCAATAATACAGAAAATCAGCAGCATCAGTTGTACAATATTCTTTTAGCTTTTGCTCATCAAAATAAGACAGTAGGATATTGTCAAGTAAGTCTTTTAAAAATGATTATGCTTATATTATATAATTAATATTGGCAATAACTGTTTTATAAAAATGAAAATTAAATAGAAATTATTACATTTTCTTTTTAGGGTTTAAACTATATTGCAGGATTATTACTACTTGTTACAAAAAATGAAGAAACAGCTTTTTGGCTGTTGAAGGTTCTAATAGAAAAAATTTTACCTGATTATTATACATCAACTATGGATGGTCTGCTTACAGACATAGATGTTCTTGC